CGCGCGAGACATTTCACGGCTCAAGGCCAGCCTTACTCGCAGCAGAACCACCGAGCGGCCGGTAAAAACAGCGATGCTCAAAGAGTCACAAGTCACAATTCGTGCGGTGCCTAGCAGCTCCTAAGTTGTTTGGACAGGAATAATCCTTTAATACCACAAGGACGTAAGCTTTGTGTGATTGTGTTAGGCACGAGAATATGTTTAATCAGCCACACCATTCGCAATTTGACACAGCTGCCTCCTACGCCCGGCGACCAATCCGTCCTGTCGTCGTCGCCCGGCCAGAGCGGGGGTCGGCCGCCCGCCGCGACCAGCGCCGACAGAGCGGCCCCCTGGGGCGAATTATCACGGCTCGCAGGCCGGTCATGGCCGAGGACAGCACGGTCACGGACCACGGCCGTGAGCGCCGGCCGCCGGTAGCGGAGCCGCGCCCCGAGCGGCCCCCAACAGCGCGGGCACGACTCGGCGCCGCGTGCTCGCGCCCAGTGTCTTCGCCTGACGGACGGATGCCGTGCGAGTGGAGCGGCGCCAAATTGCCGCCGGCACGCGCCCGCGCTCGCCGTCGAGACCTGTTTGCCCCGTTCAGACCGGCCGGCTGACCGGTGACGGGCGCCGGGCGTTTTTGTGATGGAGAGACCAAAGCGAACTTCCTACCAATTTGTCGGGCCACTTTTGGCTCCAGTCAATGCAAGGAGGCGCACTGGGAAGGCCCCGCTGGGAAACACAGAATCGCCATCGGACCGCGCCTCGCACTGGATTGTCAAACGCACCCAGCCACTGCTTGGCTCCTGTTCTCAGGACGTACTGCGCCGAGCACTGATGCCTACACCCCGATGGCGTGCAAGTAAGGCTAATCAATAGCCACCAAGTCGGCCACATAAATAAGGCCGCTAACTGCTCCTCGGCTTCCGTGTGAGGCCTCAGTATACGGGCTACCAACACTAATTTCGGGCCAGCGGTAGTAATAAATGAACGCCTGATGAAGCACAGCGTCTCCTGGGCGCACCACAAAGGAGGCCGCTCTAACCGTAACCGCTTGCGAGCCGCGCTACCTCTTATTCATGCCGGGCCTGCGGCTGAAGGCCGTATTCAATGCGTCACGGTGATAGATGGCTGTGCCATGGCATGTTGGATATCCACCAATAATCATTGGTGGAAAATCAATCCCACTGAATATCACGCGCACTTAGCATTGCAGCGTTCCTCCTGGACTGAGTTCGTGGAGCTGGAGAATGCGCACCACCGGATTATTGAAATAGATAAATCAAACACCCACCTGATATGCACCCACCTGATACGATCCCCGGTTATGCGCATCACCCATATTGCGTACGAGGAGCACTGTGATAATCTTTTCAACTACTAGATGGTGAGAGAAAAACAATCATAAAGCCGTCCCATGGTATGAGCATCAACCACATCGAGCGGGATGAACCCTAGCCATTACATTTTCCAGGTCCATAACAAGACCGACCAACCAGCTTTGAATAGCATTTCACTGGGCGTGACCACTTGCACGTCTCCTGAATGCTTGGAACATACGGCTCGTACGGGTTTGGACGTTGGACATAGTTTTTCGTGTACACCCAGAACGGGATACCGGTCGCCACACGTCAGTGGCCGGCGGGATACCGGCCGCCACACGTCAGTGGCCGGCGGGATACCGGTTGCCACACGTTAGTGGCCGGCGGGATACCGGTTGCCACACGCCACACGTTAGTGGCCGGCGGGATACCGGTTGCCACACGCCACACGTTAGTGGCCGGCGGGATACCGATGGCCACACGTCAGTGGCCGGCGGGATACCGGTCGCCACACGTCAGTGGCCGGCGGGATACCGATCGCCACACGCCAGGCGGGATACCGATCGCCACACGTCAGGCGGGATACCGATCGCCACACGTCAGGCGGGATACCGATCGCCACACGCCAGGCGGGATACCGATCGCCACACGTCAGTGGCCGGTGGGACACAGATCGCCACACGCCAGTGGCCGGCGGGATACCGATCGCCACACGCCAGTGGCCGGCGGGATACCGATCGCCACACGTCAGTGGCCGGCGGGATACCGGCCGCCACACGCCAGTGGCCGGCGGGATACCGATCGCCACACGTCAGTGGCCGGCGGGATACCGGCCGCCACACGTCAGTGGCCGGCGGGATACCGATCGCCACACGCCAGTGGCCGGCGGGATACCGATCGCCACACGTCAGTGGCCGGCGGGACACCGGCCGCCACACGCCAGTGGCCGGCGGGATACCGATCGCCACACGCCAGTGGCCGGCGGGATACCGATGGCCACACGCGTAGCCCGACCGTTGTTTTAGCGTTACAACTTAATGCGGATGCTTGGCGACGCCTTCATAAGAACATCCCTCATGAGTTCAAACCGTCAACAGGCGTGGTATTGGTTTTTCAGACATAATTAGGATGAATATGCCTAGCATAGAGAGTCCTGTTCGTTAATGATGTGGACGCAAACCCGCTAACATTCATTGGTCAAGTAAAAAATGACAACTCCTAATTATGTCATTTCATGCAGCCTTCAACTAACGGCAACAAAAATTAAGCCATGAATCGGCCTTGACAAATTTATCATTAGTGATGTTCGCTATCCAAATTATGCAAAGCAACAGTAGATCATACACAAGAAATACTGAAAAACACGATTCTTCATTACCCATAACAAGAATGAACATCACGTTGGCTGCCGTGAAGAAACATGTAGTAGGTGAGCCGCCCGGTATGCTAGTAGGTCTCCAGTTATTCACTGGCAGACGACTGGACCACCGCGCGGAGCGACGGCATAACTGTCACGGTCCCCAGTGAACTATGGTTCACTGAATGGCGTAGCTGTGAGAAACCCGTAGTGTGCAGCGACACCGGTACCGTCAAGCACGAATGCCATGCACGCTACAAACATCAGTCTTCGGAACAATGTTGCAAGGAGCCAAACTAGACAGTCAGCCCACCCCACTGCCGAATGGGAGACAGCATGGGCGTGGATGCCGTCCACGACTGCCAAGGTCCATGCCGCGCGCCGGTTACGCCGCGTCGGCAGCACGCGAGCGGCGGCGTCTGCCGCCTAGCGTGACCCCCCCCCCTCCCCCCCCGCGTGACTCCGGCGCCTGGTGCACACACCGTAGCTGCCGGGCCCAGACTAGGGCCTAGCGTGACACAGACACACACACACACCAAGAGGCGCCGGGCGCACCCACCGTAGCCGCCGGGCCGGGACCAGGGACTGGCGTGACCCCTTCCCCCACGCAGCGCCGGGCGTACCCACCGTAGCCGCCGGGTCAAGACTAGGGCCTTGCGTGACAACCCCCTCCCCTCCCCAAGAGGCGCCGGGCACCCACCGCAGCCGCCGCGCCCCTGGCGTGGCCCCCTCTCCCACGCGGCGCCGGGCGTACCCACCGTAGCCGCCGGGCCTAGACCATGGCGCCGAGTCGTCGAACAGGGCGCGGCAGCCAGCCACCGCCGCCGCCTGGTTCAGCTGCGTGGCCAGCGGGTTGAGCAGCAGCGGCGCCGGCACGCGCAGCGGGTCGCTGAGCGGCCGCAGCAGCTCGGTCAGCAGCGGGCGCAGCTGCTCCGGCACCAGCGAGAGGTCGGCCAGCTCGGCAGGCAGCGACTCCTGCGGCAAGGTCAGAGGCGCGCTGGCAGGGCGGCGGCAAGACAACCAGAGCCAGCCGCACACCCGAACCGCACCCCAAACCGCGAGACGGCGTGGCCCCGGGGAACAGGGACGACCACACTTGGAGCCGGGGCACTTGGTGCCTGTGCTATGACCAGAAGCAAACACACCACGGCAGGGGACGGGGCCAGTACGTGCACATGATCCATCGCGTCCGTCATGACCAACAAACCACACTGCGCGATCGTAAGCCGACTCCAACAGGCCGGCGCATCAGCCTCATCACGGAGTATGATCACGGGATTGCGTGTGCCGTATAACACGTGAGACTTCGCTATATTGTGTTTAGCACAGCCTGGCATTTCTGCCCAACATGTGCCAAGGTAGCATATGGCAAGCAAGCCCACTGACACACGCGCCACCAGCTTAGATACGTCGATCAGTGGCTTATAACGCGCAGCCTAGACAGCTGGGCTTACAGACACCAGCTTAACTAACCGGATCAGTGAAGACATTTTCCTCCGCCAGGCGGCGCACGTGGTTGCTGCACCACATCCATCTCTTGTGCCGCGACAAAGTAATAGATCGCATTAGCACCGCCAGGTGGTGCAGCAGGACCAGCAATATCCGCGCAGTCTGCGCACTCGGCTGGGGTGGAACCTAAGGGAAGAACAACGCATTAAGGCACCGGGCAACAATCTGCACAAATTGGGCATGAATACGTCGTAGTTCCGCACGGGAGCACACACTGGAAAATTCGTCTCGCCTGAAGCGGTCCAGCCATGCTACGACTACTTTCCACTGCTTGCCGCACGTCTTCCATTGCAGCGAGGCCCTCAGAGGTTTGCTCGACCCTGGCACACGCACAAGCCCGCCCACATGCACACAC